GGCCGGGGCCGCGCCCGGCGCCGCAGGCGCCGCGCCGGCGCCGGCGTCGGGCGGCGCAGGGGCCGCGTCCGCACCCGCGGCAGCGGCGGCGCCGGCATTGCCCTGGAAGAGGGCGCCGAGCTGAACTCCAGGCAAGCCCACGGCCTCGCCGCCGGCGCCGCCCTGCCCCGCCTCCTGCGCCCCCCCGCCGCCCGCGCCGCCCTGCAGCCCCAGCATGCCGAAGAGCCCCTGCAGCAGCCCCGCCGCACCGCCGCCGCCGTCGAGCCCGGCGGCCTCTTCGCCTTCCGCCAGCGGCCGCGTGTCCCGCATGAGCAGCAGCTTGAGGCGCGTCAGGCGCGTGAGGGCGCCGACTGCCTCCGCCTGTTCGGATTCTGGACAGATCGCGATGCTGAGCTGGCGCAGCCGTGGCAGACGGTCAGGCAGGGAGAGGCGCGTCTGCTGCGAGATGCGGACCGGGTGGAGCGTCTGCGGGGGCCAGGCGTTGAGAGGTGCGGGCGGGTGCCGGCAGAGTTGGTGTTGGAGGGGCGCCGGCGGGGAGCGTGAAGGCGCCGGCGCCGCGGTGCGGGCATATGCGCAGATGCCGCCCTCCCATGCACTGTGTCGGGCGTGCTGCGTACAGGACTGTGCCGATCGACGACGTGGCTGTATAGCGCCCCCGGGCCCCAAACCCACAGCCCAATCCTTTACGTGCAACTGCAGCTTCCTCAGCCGCCTCAGCCGTGTGAAAGGCGCCAGGTCGTTCCAAAGCGAGCTGCCCCGCAGCCCCTGCTGTCCATCAGCCCGCCGCGCGCCGCCGCATAGCAGTGACAGCTGCAGTGAACACGAGGCGCAGCCGCAGGCGGCGGGGCGCGGGGCCAAGGGGGGTGCACGGAGCACGTGCGTCAGGATGGCAATGCGTAGACGCAGGGCTTTGCATTTATGAGTTGGGAGTTGCGAACAAGGGAGTGTGGCCGGGTGCGTGCGCCGCACCTGACCCGGAAGTGTGCAGGTCCGCTGTGAGTTGATACATACACACGCCTCCATATAGTTGACAACTGCAGCGCGATGTGACGGCGTCCCCAAAGGGTTCCCCCAGTCCCCCCACCGTCTCAAGCCTCGTGAACCTCTGCAGCAGCCGCGCCGCGCGCTCGTCCCACGCCCCCGTCTGCCGGACCATCAGCGACCGCAGCTGCGGCGCGAGGCCCTCCGCCCGCGGCCCCGCAGCGGTCGCCCCCGCCGCCGCCGCGCCGCTGCCGCCCCCGCGCGCGCGGCGGCCGCCGCACGCCCAGCAGCCGCCGCCGCCGCCGCCGTCGTCGTCGTCGCTGCCTCCTTCGCTGCCCAGGTCCTCCGACGCCAGAGCAGCGTCGTCTGGATCAGCCTCGGCCTCGGCCGAGGTGCTATCCTCGGCCTTCTCCACACCATCGAGGAACTCGTCAACATCGGACTCATCGCAATTCATCAGGCCAGCCAAGATCTCAACAACTGGCAGGTCAAAAGCCACCAGAGTCGGCAGGATGGCTTGGACCTGGCGAGCGGTAGAAATGGCAGCAAAATGAGGGGGGTCACATGTTGAAAGGTGACGTTTTGTGAGGCAGAAGCGCGTGCCGAGCAATAGGCCAACCGCGCTGGGAGCAAGGACGGACCATCGTGTGTGCGGGGCCTCGAGCGTTGCGTGCCTCGCAGGTACCTGCTCGCCAATCCCGTGCACGCCCCCCGCGGGGCTGACGGGCGGCACGAAGTGCAGCGCCGTGAGCGACATCAGCGCGGCACCCAGCTGCCGCCAGGGCGCGCCGCGGAGGCCGCCGTGCTCGACGTTCCTGGAGGCGAGGGCGCAGGCGCGGATGGCATGCGCACGCGCACGCGCACGCGCCCACGAGGAGCGGATCGGTTGCGCCGAGGCGGAAGGCACGCGTCGCGCCTGGGGCGCATGCACGCGTGGCGGCAGACAAGCCGCCATTGGGGCCGCGGCCGCCATCATCATCTCGCTGTACCTCAAGGCGACACCTCATCACAGGCGTCACAGGCGAGGCGGCGTCCTGCAGCCGCGGCACTCACAGCTCCAGGAGTGAGAGGTTCCCGAGGCTGGGCAGCAGCGCCGGCAGCAGCGGAAGCTCTGCGAGCCGCAGCGCGTCGAGGCGGGGCCCCAGGACGCGCATGCCGTCTGGGGG